TATCTTATCCCTTCTCTCTTCCCCAACTCCCCCAAGTAGCAGGGTAGATGCAGGAAGAAGGTATGCCTCTTGCATGATTGGTGCTCTGCTTGCCCACCTCTTCTGAGGTTGTGGAGCCAATTCTCATACTCTGTGTAGCCAGCAAATTTCTCCCTCTCTTCAAATTCCATCCTGGAATTTAATATCCTTCCTCTGCCTTCATTAACAAATTCCTTTGTTTCACTTTGTTTCAGTCACCTCACTGTCTCCCAAACACACGGAACTCAGTTCTATCTCTCTGTCTTTATTCCTGTCTGTCTGGGATGCCCCTCCTTTCTGCTTTCCCTCTATACTATAGTGTTGTGTTGTGTTTTGTTTTGTTTTAATTAGTGATGCTGGAGATTGAACCCAGAGACACTTTACCACTGAGCTACATCCCCAGCCTGTTTTATTTTGAGACAGAGTCTTGCTAAGTTACTTAGGGCCTCACTAAGTTGCTGAGGCTGGCTTTGAACTTGGGATACTCCTGCCTCTGCCTCTTAAATCCCTGGGATTACAGGCAGGTTCCACTGCCCCCTACTTCCTACAGTCCTTATCTATCCTTTAGAGGTGCTTAAATTCCTCTTCCTTTCAGAGGATCCTTTCAGAGCCTCCAGCCTACAGTGGTCTATCAGTTACCTGAATTCCTACAGAATTCAGCCCCAAAACTCAGCACTAAATTCTATAATGTTAATTAGATGGAACTGTAAACAGAGGTGGTGTAGCATGGGAATTAGTAGCATAAGGCAAGGTGCCAGAGTCCTTGAATTCACGAGGACCTAGCTTTTTTTATGGTACTGGGGATAAAACCCAGGGCTGCATGCATGCTAGGCAAGTGCTCTACCACCAAGCTACATACCTGGTCCTTTTTAAATTTTTCAGTTTGAAAATGGGTGCAATGGTACATGCTTGTAATCCCAGTAACTCAGGAGGCTGAGGCAGGAGGATTGCAAGTTCAAGGCCAGCCTGGAAAACTTAGTGAGACCCTGTCTCAAAATTAAAAAGGGCTGAGGGACATAGCTTAGTGGTAGAACACTCCTGGGTTTGACCCCCAGTACTACAAATAAATAAATTCTTAAGTATTTTTGGTGGAGGCACAGGGGATTGAACTCATGGCCACTGAGCCACATCCCCAGCCCTATTTTATATTTAGAGACAGGGTTTCACTGAATTGCTTAGTGCCTCACTTTTGCTGAGGCTGACGTTAAACTTGGAATCCTCCTGCCTCAGCCTCCCAGGTAGCTGAGGTTATAGGTGTACACCTCTGCACCTGGCTAACTGAGTGCTTTACCTCTGTGTGCCTCAATGGTTGCAGGGGGGAATAAATGAACTAATGCATTAAAAGATGTTGTAATAATGCCTGGCAAGGAATAACTGCTAAATAAGTGTTATCATTATAAATAACACTGTCCTTCCCCCATATTTCTATAGCTCTTGACAATTTATAAAGCATTTCCACAAACATTATTATCCTTTTTTTTCTTTTATTTTTTTGGTATGGGAATTGAACTCAGGGGCACTCGGACACTGAGCCACATCCTCAGCCCAATTTTGTATTTTATTTAGAGACAGAGTCTCACTGAGTTGCTTAGGACCTAGCTAAACTGCTGAGGCTGGCTTTGAACTCGTGATCCTCCTGCCTCCACCTCCCAAGCAGCTGGGATTACAGGCATGCGTCACTGTGCCAGGCCCACAAACATTATTATCTTGATGAAGTCTCATGACTACCACATGGGTAGGCAGTGAATAGTATTATGCCCATTTCACTGATGAGGTAAACTGAGGCCCAGGGATATAAAGACATTTACTTAGCTTGGAGCAGTGGTCCACACTTGTAATCCCAGCTACTCAGGAGGCTGAAACAGGAAAATTGCAAGTTCAAGGTCAGCCTCAGCAACTCATAGAGATCCAGTCTCAAAATAAAAATTAAACAGTGGGGGGATTGGTGATATGGTTTAGTGGTAGAGCGCTTGCCTAGCATGTGTGAGGCCCTGGGTTTGATCCTCAGCACCACATAAAAATAAATTAATCCTTAGCACCACACAAATAAAACAAAATAAATAGAAAAGGCTGAAGATTTACCTCAGTGGCAAAGTGCCCCTGGGTTCAACTCCCAGTGCCAGAAAAAGAAAAACTTGCTAAAGATTACCCAGATAAGAGGGAATAATGCAGAGATATGAACCCAGATCTCTTTGGGTCAGTTCTGTTTCCTTAACTAAATCCCAAGCTCCTGGAAAGTAAAGATGTTAAAAAATTGTACTCACACAAATAGAATGCCAAGTGTGGAACAAAGGTGAACCAAACAGTTCTACCTCTTACTATCCCTTGCTCCTCTTCTGTCAGGGATCTTGCTCCTTAATAGAACTATAAAGCATCTGTTAATTTAAAAATAATTGTTTTATGCCTACTCTGTGATAGAAACTATCCTAGGCAAGGTATGAAATGAGCTATAGCAAAAAAAAAAAAAAAAACTTTCTAACTGGGAGGCCAGAGAAACTTGGAGAGGTACCTTTTGAGTAGTTCTTTTAAATTTTTAAAAATTTCTATTTATTTATTATTGATTGATTAATAATTAGGATTGAACCCAAGGGCACTTTAACACTGAGCTATATCCCCAGTCCTTTTTATTTTGAGACAAGGTCTTGCTCAGTTGCTCAGGGCCTCACTAAATTGCTGAGGCTGGCCTCGAACTTGTGATCTTCCTGTCTCAGCTTCCCAAGTCCCTGGGATTACAGCACCACCATGCCCAGCAAGCCCTTTTTATTTTGAGTCAGGGTCTTGCAAATTGCTGAGGCTAGCCTCAAATTTAGGATCCTCCTGAGTAACTACTATTATAAGCACACGATAAGTGCATGCCACTGTGCTGGCTGGGACCCTCCTTTTCCTCTTTTGCTCCCCCACTTTCAATTCTCAAAGACCTCGACCCAGCTGCATAGGGATTCAAGGGCCTAAACCAATCAGGGGTCTGGTGGGAAGCTCTGTTAGAAGTGTAGTGGTATATTCCTGTAATTCAGCTACTAGGGAAGCTGAGGCAGTAGAATTGCAAGTTAGAGGTCAGCCTGGGCAGGTTAATGAGAACTTGTCTCAAAAAAAAAAAAAAATTCTAAAAAATTTTTAAAAAAGGGTTGTGGATGTAGTTCAATGGTAGAGTGCAACTGGGTTCAATGCCCAGTACTGTAAAATTAAAAACAAAACAAAACAAAAAAGTGAAAGAATAAGTTGTTTCTCAGGCTCTCCCTTCCCCCTCAGAGCCTTCTCAAGTCTTTAGGGCTCTGTGCCACTGACATTAGCTCTTCTTCACCCAAGGGAGTGAAATCTTAATGGAAACACTTCAATGAGAACTTAAGGCAGAACTGTCTTAGAGCATTAGTTTGGCCCTTCCCATGTCCCTTAAATCTCACCACAAAGATACTGCTATTATTTAGATGTTTACCTCCCACAGTACAAACCTGGAATAATATTGCCTTGTGGAGGAATCCACTCTATATACAACCCTATTTAAACATTTTTTAGAATTTTTTTTTTTTTTGAGACAAGGTCTCATTAACCTGCCCAGGCTGACCTCTAACTTGCAATTCTACTGCCTCAGCTTCCCTAGTAGCTGAATTACAGGAATACACCACTACACTTCTAACAGAGCTTCCCACCAGACTCCTGATTGGTTTAGGCCCTATACCATGTTATCCAGTCAGTGAAGACCCCAAAGCCCTTCTCTCAGTCCCCCAAACCCACTCCAACCCCAGCTAAATCAAAAGACACTGCAGCCCCCATCTGCATCAGGTGATTAATGACCTTCCTAGACGTTGGGGCTATTTTGGGTCCTGGAAGTCATGCCTGCAATGATTGAGAGCTGGCCCTGCCTGGCTCTGGAGCCATCTGTCACTGGAGACAAGACCAAGGAGGAGGTTTGGGGGATGCATGCTCCCCAAGAGACTTCTAAGCATGTCTCTGGCTCAGCCCCAACTCCCCTCCTTTCAGGGGGCACATGGCAAGAAGTGGCTATATACCCTGCCTGTACTCGAAGGGTTCAAGTAGGTAACCATAGAGAGAGCTAGAGAACTACAGATCCTAAAATGCTATGGGGCCAGGTTGTTTCAGTCTCTTTGAGGCCTAATAGAGAAGGGATTCTGGGTTCATAGGACTTGCGCACCTTGTCTGTGGACCACTTCCAGGTGGAAGTGTGCACGAATCTCAGCAGGACTATATGATACAATCCATACATCATAAACTCCACAAATGTCACACCAATGTACAACCTCATAAAAGCTGTACAAGTAACCTAGTGATTCAGGAACCCCCAACCAAACCCTACAGCATAACACTCTAGGTGATCCGAGGGATATGTAACCTCAGGATGCACAGCCCCAGTGATCACAATCACAGGGACACATAGCCTTAACAATGTACAATTTAGTAATGCACCGTCCCATTAATACAGATTGCCAGAGATGGATAAAACATGGATAGACAATCTTCATGCCATACAAGTCTATCCATCCTGTCATACATGAGCTCACTGAGTTCATATTCTAGTCCTATCTCAGGCTTTTTTTCTTTCTTTTTTTTTTTTTAATTGATCCTTCATCTTAAGGCTCCCTTAACCTAAGCAATGCAATAAAGAACTGTATGTACTTTTCCCTAGCTCAGCTGCAAGCTTCCTTTTTGCATGTCTGTGTCCTGTCCCTTACTTGAGCCTCCCCCAGTACCTTCAATAAGAAGCCCTGTCCTCTCCACCACCATGAGGGACCATGATGCCCCCTTCTCTTTTCTTCTTTGAAGAGCCCTATCTCTTCTTCCTGCTCCATAAGGAATCCTGTCCGTTGCTCCACTTCTGTCAGGGATCTTGCTCCTTAAACCCTTTTCTTTGAGGGGTCCCGCTCCCTCCATTTCTGTGAGTGCTCTTTATCCTCCCCACTTCTATAAGACTCTCATCTCACTTCACTTTTTGAGAAGGCCTGCCTGCTCCCTTCCCTTCACCATACCTGGGGACAGGGACCCAGTCACCAGCTGGTAGAGGGATCTTGCTGCTTGCCCCAACGGGCTCCGGCACCTGCGGGGGCAGCGGTTCATGGTTCTGCAGGAGAGCTTTGTGGCCAAGCTCCGCCCTCAAAGCCCGGGGGCGGTCTGGGCTGTCTCAGCCACCACCCAAGTGGGTTCTGTGTGGGCGGAGCAGGAGGACTGGACTGGCAGAGGTTCTCGGACCCTAGGACTCTTCCCACCTTCCCCTGGCTAGGGAAGAATGCTGGCCTCATCATTTGAAGGACCCACCCCCAAAGTTCCTAGAGCAGGTAAGGGCAGAGGGGCAGTACAAACTCCCCATAACCTTCTTTTGAAACATTTTGTGGAATCCTGGCAAGAAAGCCGGGTATGCAAGGGTTTGGAAAATGATCTGGTCAGGGAATAGACCTTTCATTGCCTCTTTTCAGCTCCTCCTCCTCCTGCGCCCCCCAACCCCCATTTTGCTAAGGGTAAGAGAACAGAGTTGTCATGGCAACTCCCCACACTTCCACACTTCCTAAACCAACAGGAGAAAAAGCAGGAGGAAGGAGAGAGGCCGGTGAGTTTATCCGAAGGTAAAGAGGAGGTGGCAGGGCTTTGCATCCACTTGGTATTTGCACCTAAATCCAAATAGGACTTCACTCACATTTTTTTTTTTTTAAATTATGTGGTACTAGGGATTGAACCCAGGGGAGCTCTACCACTGAACTACGTCCCTAGCTCCACCCCTTTTATTTTATTATTTTTGGGGACAGGATTTTTCTAAGTTGCCTAAGCTGGCCTCGAATTTGCAATCCTTCCAGGATCCTAAAATACTTTCAAACTCCTAGGAAAACCTACAGAAGAGATATAGTCCCAATGCTCTGACTGGGATCACATTTTTAGGGGGATTGAAATCATTATTTTTAGGTATTGGGGATTAACTAAAGGGCACTTTACCTCTGAGCTGCATCTCCAGCCCTTAATTAAGTAATTAATTAATTATTGGTACTGGGGATTGAGCCCGGGGGCCCTTTACCACTGAGCTATGTCCCCAGCTCTTTTTTCAATTTTAAATTTTGAGACAGAGTCTTGCAAAGTTGCTGAGGCTGGCCTTAAACTTTCAATCGTCCTGCCTCAGCCTCCGGAGTCACTGGGATTACAGGCATACGCCACCATGCCTGGCCAAAAACCCTACATTTAAGAGGAGAGAATTACTTCTGAATTCTGTCCAGACCTTGCTCACTCAGGATATAGTTCCCACTCCACAAGCATGGTTCCTCTAAGACACACGGGGGCGCCCTACTCCCGGGAACGATACTCAGGGCTAGAGGCCCAGGAGCTTAGACCTGGCTGGTCAGGTCCCAACTCTTTCCTCATTTTCTGCTGTCCTGCATCTGCTTCGGCACTGACTGGGCTGTGCTGATCGCAGACTTTTCCACTCTGCGTCATTGCCAAACGGTTCCTCTGGACCCAGAAGACCGGAAGTATTAGGTGGTATATGGGGTAGAACTCGATTTTCTTCCCCCTAAAAAGGTTCTCCCAGTTCTGAGCTTGGGAAGGAATGGGGAAAGATGGCAGTTGGGGGTACCCAAGACGCCTTGAAGCACAAGTTTAGGGCCGCTTCTGGCAGTCTGATCAGCCAGGATAATGTGGAGGGGGACAGGAGACTACTCCCACATCTGATCTCAAGAATACCTACTGGAAATCCTTTTGGGAAAGAGGAGGCCTGGAGCCTTCAGCACCTGGACAAGGTCTCCTTTCAGGCTGCAGGGAATACTCAGAGCCACCAGTCAAGGTTAACATTAGTGTCCCCGACTCATTTGACACTCATTATAAATCCTCCTTCAAGCCAAGTGCAGTGGTGCACACAAGTAAGTCCAGAAACTTGGTAAGCTGAGGCAGGAGGATCACAAGTTCAAAGCCAGCCTCAGCAACTTGAGACCTGGTCTCAAAATAAAAAGGGCTGGGGATGTAGCTCAATGGTTAAACTTCCCCGGGTTCAATTCCTGGTACCAAAAAATAATAAGCTCTCCTTTGAGAGGCAAGGCCCCTGGTAGTTCTATTTCTACTTCTCAAGTCATGTGTGTAGTGCTCTACAATGAGGATGCTGATGACCTTAACAGGATTCTAGAGGCTCATCAGCATTTGATCTTTTTTTTATTTCTCTTGGGAGGCTGGCAAGTAGGCAGTCAGGAAGTTGTCCTACCCCCTTTTTAGCAGTCTGGGATTTAAACCTGGGGGCACTTTACCACCTAGCTACGTCCCCAGCCCTGTCCGCCTTTTAACTATTGAGACGGTCCTGCTGAGTTGCCAAGACTGGCCTCAAATCAGTGATTCTCCTGCTTCACCTCCTGAGCAGCTGGGATTACAGGCATGAACCACCATGCCTAACTAGTATTCCTACTGTACAGGTGAGAAAAGTGAGGGCCAGAGAGCGAAAGTCACATAGTACATTTCCATTCCTGACAGACTGTTATGGTTTGGATATGAGGTATCCCCCCCAGACTCCTCTTAATGCAGGAATAGTCAGAGGTGACATTATTAAATTATATGAGGACTGTAACCTACTCAGTCCATGCTAGTTTGAATGGACTGACTACTGGGGCATGCCTGAAGATGAGTGACTGGGGGTGTCCCCTGAAAGGGCACATCTTGTCTGCAGCCCTTTCCCCCTCTCTGCTTCCTCATCCTCCCATAAACTGATCTATTTTCCTCAGCTGGTCTCTTCCCTCCATGATGTGCTGCTAACCTTAAGCCCAGAGGAATGGAGTCAGCTGTTTATGGACTGAGACCTCTGAAACTGTGAGCCCTAAATAAACTTTTCCTCCCTGAGTTGTTTTTGTCAGGTGTTTTGGTCACAGCTATGCAAAAGCTGACTAACACTGACCTAACTAAGGCAGTGAACCTTCAAATCCAAGTGCTTCCCCACCTCCACCCCACCTCCACCCAAAGTGGAAAATCAAGGCATGAAACAAACCCTAATGTGTTAATGAGGGTCTTGAGCCATTACAATTCTCAAAGATCCTGAACTGGCAGTGGAAACTGAGTTCATAATAGAACTGGATAGCTGAACTTTCAGAGCCATCCAAATCTGAAGCACATCTGGGAGAGGCACATGTGTCATTGTCTGACTCTGGGGCCTAAGTGAAGGATGCCCCTTCTCTGATGTTTTGATATTACAACTAGGTCCTCCCCAGGGCCAAAGAGCGGAGGAGTTACTTATCCTTAAGGTATTACATCCTAGTTCCTTCCCTCCTATTTAAAGGTCTTAATCTGAGCTCATAAGGAAGGACAAGGATCATGGCTTCCCGCTAACTCCCTGCTCAGAAGGAACAGCCTCCCTCCTCCCATTCTCAGTTGGAGTTCTTAAACAGGCTGCACAATGAGAGAAACACACATATATGGAAATGTACACAAGGTGACACAGTCACCTACACAAGCACATGGATCTACCTACCAAACCCAGGAATGCATACAAGCACAGATGTCCTGGTCTCACATAACTCCCCAAAGTGAGAAAGAAGTCTGGGCAGCCGAATGGTTTTGGCAGATGTAAGAGGGGACATGTAGCACTTCGCAGGCCTAGAGTTTCTATCCCTGGTTCTGGAAGGAGGCAAGAGGATGTGTTTTCTCTGGGGTTCTGGTGAATTTCTCAAAGGGCTGTTGGGGATTATAGGATTTTCATTTGTAAGAGTGATCTGAGTAATGGCAGGAGGGGGCTGATCCAGCACTAACCAAAGCCTCCCTATGGATGCCAGGTGCTAGAAACATAGGGTACACCTGGGTGTGAGTGTGGGCAACTGCACACTAGAATCTCTCCTTGGGTCCACCTGGGCTATTTGCAGGAAACTTGGGGAAGCAGTGAGGTGCACTAAAGACTCCCTTCTGCTACAGGAAGCCAGAGAGGCAGCAGGATAAGTAACGGCATGGACATTCAGAGAGCCCCACAGCAGCCATCACACATGAAACTACACAATCAGCACCAAATGTTAAAATAATCCACATAATCTCACAATCACAAAATATACAACAACCCACTTTAACAACTGTTCATTCCAGGAGGTTCACAGTCCATAGTCTTATAAAGAGACATACCACCGTAAATGAAGCCCTAATACGTTGTCACATGTCACCTCACATAGAATCATACACTCAAAGCCTATAGTTGCACATACAACAAAGACACATGGTCAAAACAACTTAAGTACAACCAGCGTCCTACATAGCCTCATTCAAACATCAGACAAGATCATAAATTGCACTGCCACATGCACTCACACTCACCCTGGTTGTCACCAAGCCCAAGGCACATGGCAACCAGCTGTGGGAGGTACACACACATACATAAAGCAGACACACATAGGAATGATAAGCGCTCACTCACGTAACACCTCCCACTCCAGACACACTCCCAGCCCTGTGTCACACACGCCCACACCTGCTGCCTCTCCACACCTGCCCCACTTGTCCCTCCACCCCTATGGAACTCAAGGCTTCGAACCCCAGTATCCAGTTGCCTAGACCAGCTGGGAGAGTGCCTGGGAATGGGGTAGAGAGCAGGTATGGAGCAAGTCAGGGTAGGAGAGGTGGAAGGGTCTGGGGGGATGGAATCCACCCTCCCTCCCGTGACCCCTGCGCCACTGACTCACCCGTGAGCTGGTCGTAAGAGCCGTCCAGATCTCGGGAATCGGACAAACTCTCCTTGCGGCCCTGACCCCGCATGGCCCCCGGCGCCCCACTCCCGTCTGGGCTGTGGGAGGGGGCGCCGGGTGGCCGGGATAGGGCGCTCACACGGCGCCCCCTGGCGGCCTAGGGCACCGTTGGGGCTGGGGACCGGGAGAGCCAAAGGTTGGGGGGCTAGTCTGGGGACCAGAGGGGTTCTAGGCCCAACCTAGGGGGTCCCGGGGCAGGAGCAGGAGGCTTGGGCGGCAAATGAGCGCAGAGCCAGAGGCAGAGTGGAGCTGAGCTCTGAGCAGGAGCGATCCGCCTCTCTCCTCCCGCCCCCTCCCCGCGGCTGTCACTGCCGCCTCCCCTCTTTGGCGCTGCTGGGATTGGCTCCCCCTACCTCCGCCCCCCACCCTCTACAGCTCGGGGGAGGCTCCGGTGAAAGGGTGAACTGCAAAGTGCAGGGAGGGAGACCATCTCCCAGCAACACCACCTCTAAACCTCAAGCCACCGATGTTGGGGTGCAAGAGAGAGCGGGGCCAGAGACCCCACTGTGAGGAAACCTCGCCCACAATTTTCAGACACCCTCTTCCCCTACCATCAGCACTGTCTGGTGGAGTCAGAGCCTGGGTTATGCCTCTGGGTTCCCTGTTCGTTTCTCCATGTCAGCCCCTATTTTGTTTGTTCCTCCTGCCAGTTCCAGCCAGTCCCCCGTCTCCACCCTGCTTCTCTCAGCTTCAAGTGGGAAGAGTATGCAGAGAAAAGTCCACCCGTTCTCTGATACAGGCGCTGTAGACAATTTTTTGTTGCCTCAAGTTCCAGCAGGATGTCACTCTCACTTAGGGCCCCCTGTCTGGATATCATCCATTCCCAGGGGGCCTTCTTCCCTGATCTAATAATGACCCTCTTGGCCATCCATGAAGATAAGAAAAACAGTGAACCAGGTCAGTTTCTCAAGACTTCCTTGCTCTTTTGTTCCTTTTTCCTTTCAACTTTTCTGCCCTTCTCTTTTGTCACCTACCCTATCTTAGATTCCTTGTTTTCCAGCAGATTTAGGGAGGTAGTGAAGGGTTTGGGGATCTGGGTGAGGACAGAGTGGACAAGTAATGCCCCTTTATGAAGCCCTCTCCACTTAAGATTAGCTCTTTTTCTGAAAGTAGGGACAGCACAGAGCTGGGCTCCCTTAGTCTCAATGTGTTTGAATTGCCCCCAGGATACTTCCTGGGCTCCTAGCCAAGAACACAGTCTCTGTCCCCAAACCCTGCCATAAGAATGGGTGGATGGTGTTTGGTGGGTCTTGAGAAGTGGCTTGCTGAGAACAAAAGCTTCAGCTAAAGTGACCCCAGCACATTTAATCTCTTCAACAGGATTTAATTTCCAACCACTTGTTTCAATCAACCCAGCAGGAATTGTCTTTTGGGAGCAATACCCTGCTTCTGGCTCTCCTCTGACTCTGCAGAAGCCTCCAAATACCTGGCACAGAGGCTGGGCATGGGCAACTCTTTTTGAGGTTGATTTCTGGAAGAGAATGGGAACTCCTGTTTGGAGTTCTTGGAATAGGTGTATGTGAAGAAATAAGGTCAAGAGATGGACTGTATCAAGGGAAGGCAAGGAAGTCCTCTGCTTAGTGACCCATGTCCTAGACCTGCCTTTCTTCACTTTATATGAAATGCTGGCAGGAATCCAGAAGGAGCCCAAAGGACTTGCTGACATCAACACAACAAAGTGTGGAGATAAGGGAATTGTATTCTGCCTTCTTCCATCCAGAAAGCAAGGGAGGCTACAAGTGTCTGAGCTCAACTGTCCTCTACTAATGCCATGACACTCAGGAGGAGAGTTAAGGACAGGTAGGGGTCTCCTAGCCAGATGGGACCAACACCTGGGAGATTACCTTAACTCTGTCTCTGAGAATTGAGTCTGGGCCACATAGATTAAGGGGGTGGGGGACACTAAGAAGATTGTCCCACACAGATCAATTTTTAATAACTTCAATTTGCCACCAGCTCCAGATCCAGCTGTTCTGGGGTTTATCACCTTGGAAAAAACTAATGTCACAGGCTGAGCTATCCATACAGTGATTAGTGATCAGAGAAGACCCAGTCCATGATCTCTTCAGATCATACATCTAGGCATGGGAGTCTGTTGGTGGATTCTCTGAAACTAATGCTTATCTGCTCAAAGTTGGAGCCACAACTATGGTTCCCAGGGAGGGCAAGTATACCAAAGAGATACAGGGCTAACTGGATAACAGCTAGGGAGGTCTCACACCTGTTCTCACAGCTGGATTTCTGCACTTTATCCAATTATTTCTGCGCCTGCTTGCTCCTTGCCATCCTAAGGGCTTTAGAAAGGGAGAGTCTTATAGCAGCAGCTATTTTGGAGGTAGCTGTGGAGTTTAAAAAAAAAAACAAAACCTACAATGGTCCTGTGGAGGCTATACAAAGGAGGAACCACAGACTGACTTCCCGAAGATCAGGAGATTTGCCCATGGTCCCACCCAGAATATGGGTAGATAGGGTGAAGGCCCTATACATAATGCTCACCTGGCCTTTTTCAGATGGAGGGCACCCTGCTCCCAGCAGGTTCTCTCCCTCTCAGGGGCACCAGACCATAGCAGGAACAGATTCCTCCCCAGAGGAAATTCTTAAGCAGGCTGGATGTAAACAACAGCAGGGTGAGGGGGTGGAACATGTGGAGGGGAGCTCAGCAGAGGCAGGAGAGGCCCCCAGTGGGAGGGGGTGGCTGAGAAGATGGGAAAACTGCTGGAAAGGGAACCAGCAAAGTAGGCACTTTAAGGGCTCCAGAAAACCTGTCAATGTTTATTTTGTGCACACCCTAAAGACAGTTTAAACCAAACTAAAAATGCAAAGCTAAGGTTGTAAGCCTTTTATGCTGATGAGTCAATGGGCTGGAAGGCAAGGGAAAGCTAACAGGTATTTCTGGTGCCAAAACTAAAATTCAGAAAGTGGTGGCCAGACAGTGAGCACTGCGTAGATTCCAGCCTCCAGTTTCTTACAGGAATCGACTTTGAATTGGGGGGGGGGGGGAAGTGCCCTACTCCTATCCTATCCTATCCTAAGCCTGACCTGAGGGTCCTAATGACTGGACAGAGTCCTAGCAGGGTAAGGACACAGATGTCAAACCCAGCTCAGCTCCAAGCTTAAAGGGAACAGGATATGGCTCCTGGTATGTCTGAAAGTTGATCTATTTTCAGAAGCCAAGGAAAGCCATTAGCCTTCAGGGTCCTGGCCTCTCCTGAGGCTTGCCCCATCAGCTTCTGAAAATCAGCCAGAAGTCACAACTTGTAAAGTTAATTGGAAATGTGAGGGGGTGTCCAGGGGACCCATCTAGAAGTCCCCATGTTCTTGGATGTCTCTCCTTTTGCCCACCCATTCCTCCCCAAATAAGATCATCCCTGGCTTGCCCCTGCTGTCCAAGCTTCACTGAAGTGTGGCCTTCACCAGGAGAACTCAGTATCTGTTTCTCTCCAATCTTGGAGGCAGCCCCCTCTCCCCTTGCACCCATCCAGCTCAGGAGCCTCATGAGTAAGGGCAGTCAGTGGCTGTCAGGTGGGCATGGCCTCAGGAGATAGTGGAGAACTCCTTTAGCAGGACCTCCTGGCTGAGTGTGTGGAAGGCCAGGTTCCTCCGGACATTGGTGCTAATGGATCGAACCTGGGAAAGGGTAGGGGTAAGGTGGGAAGGCACAGAAAGAGAGAAAACAGGACATAGTCAGTTACAAACAGCAGACGGCAGTGCCTGTGGCACAGGGCTAAGGAAGTATCCACCATGCTAGCAGGGGAAAGACCTATGGAGAACTGCTGAGAGGGCCAAACTCTCTATTATGAGAGGGTTCCACAAGGAATCTAGCAGACTCTGCAAGGAGGTTCATCCATGTATATGTTTATGAGAAACAAAAGGGTGGGGGGAGGAGATAGTGTGTGTCCTGAGCCCTAAAATCTGCTTTGCTGTAGAAAAGTTAATAAAGTTGTTAGGTAGGAAACAGGAAAGAACAGCGTGGCAAACTGCAAGCAACTCAAGTTCATTAACTCCCAACTGGACCAGACTCACTTTGCATCCCTGTGCCAGAAGTGCAGACAGGAGAGCTGAGTAAGGCAGAGGCTACCACCAAAGAGCCTAAAGACAGAGCTCCTCTAATTCTCCTTCACAATCTTTTTCATCTCCCAATAGTTAATTGCTGGTCCCCAGTAATTCCCCAACATGGACATAAAGACTCATCAACTACCCCATAAAAATACTCTTACTTGCTATATCCTTACACTAATGGCTTCCCTGTTCCCAACTAACTCACACCAGAGAAATCCTGAGGAGGTCATGTCAGGGTCAGATTTGGGCTGTGTTTAGCACAAGACATGATCTAAAATCTAGCACCTTCACTGTGGATGGATGTGGTGTGGGGAAGTAAAAGCTGGGCCACTGGAAGTTATACTCCAGCAGAGGGAAGTCTAAAGACATGGGAAGTAGGTACAGAGGCCTCAGTGTCCTGGTCTTAGTTCCCAGCCAGAAAGTTTATGTAAACCAAGCAGGTGGTGTGGTAGGACTATAGGGAGGCTGAATTTTTCCTGAGAGCAGCTCTGATCACAGGGCAGAAAAGGGACAATTAATAGGGAGAGATCAGTTTTGTGGAGATGCTGACTGGGAGGTGGAGTAGGAGGCAGAGAAAATGCTTACTGGCTCTGGGTAGCCAAGGGTGGGGACTGTAGGAAGCTGAGTGATTGGAGAGTAGGAGTGGGTATAGGGAGTAAAAACTAGAGAACTATATTAGGAGGGCACTCAGACTAGGAACCAGTTAGGAATTTAGGAAGAAGTGAATAATTGATTCTCATTATCCTCATTAGTTGCTCTGAGGCCTTGATAAAGAGCAATGAGCCAGAACTACCACTGGGAACACACGTCAAATCCCAGGCCCAGTTGGAGCTGTGCAAGGGCTGTCTCCATGGCTTCAGAGGAGGTACTGCACTGGGAATATTTTCTTCTCTCACTGCCTCCTCCTGAACTGTTTTGGTAGAGAAGTTTTATATTGGATCCCAGCAGACCCTTCTAGTCTTAGCCTGTGGCAAACTGCAGCTGTTCCCTAAATGTCCACCTACAAACAGAACCTAGTAGCTGGGAATGGGCCCCCAAGAAACATAGGCAGAGCCAGGGGCAGAGTACTCACCAGCTCTTTGAAGAAGGCAGCTTCCTTATGCTGCTCTGAGTAGCGCTCATACTGGTCCAGGCCATCCTGCAGCTTCAGTGTGAGTGTGTCATAGTTGGCTCGTACTACCTCTAGCACCTGAGGGAGGTAAAGAGCAGAGCATGGACCATGTAAATCATGGGCCTTAGCCCCACATTGCTACCTTATTGGGTTGGATTCAGTCTAGGGTGATACCTCCAAAAGACCCTGGCTCACTACTTATCATCCAGAAAAAAGCCAGGCCACAGGGAACATTACTTCCTAATCTCTTCTATTCCCCTCCTTTCCTTACCAACCTAGCCTGGCCACCAAGGATGTTTACTCTGGGTATGATAAAAGAACATGAGAAGAAGTAACAGAACTGTGAATGCCTGAGGTCACTCATATTCCTGATACTATAATTTTGCTGTCATCCTCATCCTGAAGCTTTCTCTGGCCAGATTGTCAGTGTCAGACTTTGCCAGTGTCTTCTTGCTTCTCCTTTTCTTGGAACTACATTTCTTCAGTCCTGGAATATTCCTTAGCACCAAATGCCACTTGTTTTTAATCTCTTGATGCCAACTCAGCCTTCCTACCCATTGTGTGGATGAAACTTTTGGACATCCAAGCCTTTGGGTATAGGGCATACTTTCAAGACTGAGCTATAGTTTTTTTTTTTTTTTTAAGAGAGATTTTTAATATTTATTTTTTAGTTCTCGGCGGCGGACACAACATCTTTGTTGGTATGCGGTGCTGAGGGTCGAACCCAGGCCGCATGCATGCCAGGCGAGCGCGCTACCGCTTGAGCCACATCCCCAGCCCTATAGTTTTTGTTTTGATGAGAGATCTCTCTCTTCAACAGAAAGACATTGTTGAATGTCAGGGGGAGGATTCAGACTTCGGCTGACTCTGGGAACCTTGGGTACCACTGGTTAAGAAGGAAAGGACTACTATAGCTAGGCCTGATGTGACTTCAACTTATAAGACCATCAAATAAAGGCAAGGTCTGGCAGGGGAGAGGCACTACATCAAGTAGGCAGAAGTGAGTTGAGCAGAAAAGAATTACCAGGAGAGGGAATGACTATTCACTTTGGTAGTTTAAGGGCACTTATCTGACCTGTAGGAAAGCCTATGACATCATGGAGAACTCCCTGCTCAGGAGGGAGCTTGAGGAGAAGAAATGAGTGATGAGGGACTGTTAGCTCTGCAGGGTGGTAGAGAATAAGCCAGAGTCAGGGTAGGTCAGAGGGATTGAGAATAGATTCCAAAGGAGTACAAAGGTATCTCTGGACTGTTCCTTTACCATTCTAAATTTGTGTTTGGTCTGACTTTACTTGGTAACAAACACTTCTGTCTGCCAAGAATTCCTGAGGAAAGAGATGAGCTAGAGAGCACTGGTAAAACTTGTGTCCCTAAGGCAGAGTTCTCTGAGTTTCAGTTCAGAAGGAAGGGATAGCTAGGGCACAGCTCTGGCCCAGTTTTCTTCCTTCCAGACATTCTCAGCTCCATAAAATAATTTTGTTGGCTCTTTCCCACAGACCCTAAGACAAGCTGGTTCCTTTGCTTCTAATTCCAATTGTCAGCTCTGTAGGTAGGTAGACCACAGCCCAGCAAGAGCAGTCACAAAATAATCCAGTCTTATCAAGAACATGGGCTATATACTTGAGCCAGAGTCTTGGCTCAGAAGTGAATGGCTCAAACCCACACTCAAACCCACAAAAAGGCAAAATTTTCTCCAAGATGGAAACATCCCCAAGGAACCAAGCAAAATAAAGTAATACATGTTTTCCTAAGTCCTGAAATATGGGCAGCCTCAGCAATGCCTATGACCCAGCAACCTGGGCTTGGCTTTCCTTAAAAAGGTGTCAGGTACTAAAAGACAAAAACCACGTCAAAGCCAATTTCTGAGAAAAAGGTGCAGTATGTTAAGAGATGTCTCTACCTTCTAACTATGCCCCAAGAGTCTAAGGCCTCCAAGACTCCCTTGATCACCTAGACATTCTCCTCTTGCCAGGGAAGAATGGAATGTCTAAGGTCTTACTTAACAGGGAATTTTCCTTTCTCAGTAAGGCGGGCTTTTCAAAGTATAGCCTAGTACAGTTTGTTACAGGAAGTTCAAAGCAGAAAAGGCTCCTGAGCTACTAGCTCCTTAGAAGGAAACCAGAAGCCTGGCTGGATTATTACGCAGTGCATGATTACGGCTCCACTCTTATCTGGATATTGCCCAGTGCTGCCTCCTCCTTCCCTGGTCTTTCTTTCTCTTTTACCTAGCAAAAAGTTGTCCATCAGCTCATCTAGACTCTACCGTCTCCTGCCCTCATCACCTCTCAATTACTTGCAAGAGAACACACTCTAAGCTCAGGTCTGGGCCTCAACTCATTCAGCATTTCAGAGCACTTGCCAAGTCTGGGATTTTGCTTTCTGGAGTAAAAGACTTTAGGAACATGTGCCATTTGAGCTTCAACACTGGCTTGGGGTGTGGCAAGAGTAATTTCTCAGATTGTGTTTAAAGGCCTTAGGCTTTATTGGGCCCGGTGGTGCATTCCTGTAATTCTAGCAACTTGGAAGGCTGAGGGCCTAAGCAACTTAGCCAGACCCTGTCTGAAAAATAAAAAAATAAAAAGGGTAGGGGCAGTAGCTCAGTGGTAAAGCACTCCTGGGTTCAATCACTAGGGGGAAAAAGAAAAAGACCTTAGACTTTACCCTAATTTACAGCCTTGGGATCTGGCTTCCTGGTAACTCCAATTGCCCCTATCAGGTTAAGATCCCTTCCCAATTCATCAGGTAACAGTCTAGTCCCCAAGCACATACAAACCCTCTTTCATCAGTTGTTGGGCTTGTGGGATTCCTAGAACTAGGCCCACTACCTTAGCTCAAATAGCTTCAAAGTCAGAAATCACCTACAAGACATAATCTTTAAGGAACCCTTACACTACTTATGACCCTTAGTAGACAGGAACTTGGGTCCTGGTAAGAGCCTGATAGAAAAATAACTTACTTGAGCCAAGAATGGTAGCACATGCCTGTAATTTTAGCAATTTGGGAGGCTGAGGCAGAAGGATCAAGGCCAGCCTTAGCAATTTAGTGAGACCCTGTCTCAAAATTTAAAAAAAGGACTGGGGATGTGGTTCAGTAGTGAAGCATCTCTGGGTTCTATCTCCAGGACCAAGAAAAGAGAGAAGAAAGAGAAAGTAAGGAAACAAACTGAATTGGAGTTCCACTCTATGTGTATATGTGCTACTGGGGGTTGAATCCAGGGCCTTGTACATGCTCGGCAAGCACTTATTAACCAGGTAAATTTATGTAATTTTATGTAATTTTCTTTATTTTTTTGAGTTTCAGTTTTTATATCTGTAAAAGGGGATAGCACTACCTTAAAAGAATGATGTAAAGATGAATGAGATAAGGATTGTCCAATGGCTGGCACATAATGAATAGTCAATAAGTGGTTCTAATTTTATAGTTACTAATGGTGTTTGGAAGTTCTGATTGTCTCCAGATAGTTCTAATCATAAGCCAAGAGCTAGGGTTTCACACATCTTCACTTAGCCAATGGCAGATTCTGGTGAAGCGGAAACATTTCTATTTGATGTGAAAAGAAGCCTGCAATAAGGACCACACTGTCCTAAGTATAACTAACAATGCATGAGCCGGAAGACAGAGTGCCCAGTATGCAATACTAACCTTTACAACTTTGGTAGTGCACAGGACTACAGGTTAAAGAAAAATGAGCAAAGAGGCTCCTAAAGACTCAACTTCACATGATACAGACTGTGAGGCTCTTGGCCACATCAGGATTAAGATATCATCGATGATGTAAAGTAGATGATATTCCAGTGCATTAGGTTAGTTCAAAATTGTTGACGAGGTTTAAGACACATGTACTGCTTGGGGCTGTGGTTGTAGCTCAGTGGTAGAATGTTTGCCTCACATGTGTGAGGTACTGGATTTGATCCTCAGCACTACATACAAATAAAAAATAAAATACAGGTATTGGGAAGGGAGAGGGCGTAGGGGTAGGAAAGATGGTGGAATGAGATGGACATCATTGCCCTAAGTATATGTATGAAGACATGAATGGTGTGACTCTACTTTGTGTACAACAGGAAATATGAAAAATTGTGCTCTGTATGTGTACTATGAATTGAAATGCATTCTGCTGTCATGTATAACAAATTAGAATAAATAAATAAACTTAATAAAGGTAGTGTGTTCACCTACAACTAAAAAACATTAAAAAAAAAAAAAAAAGACACACTCCTTTCCCTGAGAACATTCAATATGCATTCTTTAGACTGTTCAGTATCCAATGTATCAATGCTCTAGCACCAGGCTCTATCCTCAGTCCTTTAAAAAAAAAAAAAAAATATATATATATATATATATAGGCACAATATCTCTATTTTTTATTTTTAGATGGTGCTTGGGGTTGAACCCAGTGCCTCACGCATGCTAGGCAAATGCTCTGCCTCTGAGCCACAACCCCAGCCTTCCCTCAGTCCTTTTTTTACATTTTATTTTGTCACAGGGTCTCACTAAATTGCCCAATCTGACCTCAAACTTGCAATCTTCCTGACTTAGCCTCCTGAATATCTGGGATTATGGTTATCTGCCACCAGGCCCACCCCACTACCTCCTGCCTTTTTTTCCCCCCAAAGTAGGACCTTTGAAACAGGAAATATCTTCTAGCCTGAAGACAGCCACAAACAAGAATTCCCAAGTTGAAAAGTTTCTGGTGATGGCTATCCAGTCTTGATGCCAGAAGGCTTTGCTCTGGGCCTGAAAAACTGCTCATTCTCAAATCTACTGGCCTGAATTCCCAGCAGAGAAGGACAACTAAGTAATAGGATGTGTCCTATCAGCAAACTTGTTTTCATTATCTTCTCTCAATTTAAACTGATGTCTAAAGTATGACTTATTTCTCAATCAGGGCAACATGTATGGTCTGCCCTAGAAGCCAGACTGCCAAATAAAGATGAGCCCACGAATAGCAACAGAAAGACTTCCTTTTTAGAATAGGAAATACACATAGGCCAGGAAGATGGCAGTGGAGGTAATGAAAAGAGACTATCAGATCAGAAATCTAGATTCAAACTTGACCTGACTTTTAGTCCTTAACTATGAAAAAGTCATAATATTTTCTTATAATATTTTAAAGATTAGAGATAATATATAAAAATAAATGTAAAAATATAAATGATAGGATCTAATACATAGAAGGTGCCAAGTGAATAAAGGCAATTAAGAAGAAAACAAAAGAACAGGAAAAAGAAAAAAGAAAAATGGAAATAGAAAGTATGTGATACATTCAAATAAGATGAATCAGCTGGTTAAATGGTGGCCAGAAGAACCTTAATTTTCCTAGCATGTAAGGATAGTGACATGGAAGGCAGCCACACTTTTTTATGCCAAAGTGTTACCATAGGGACAGAACAACAGAAATAATAGTTCCAGAAGGAACCTTTGAAATTGCATACTAGTTCATGGCCCTCATTTCACAGAAGAAGAAATAGATGTCTAGAAATATTACAAATTTCCCAAAGTCACAAAACAGGATTAGACAACCAATTCAGTGTCCTATTTGTATTAGCAGGCTAGTCTAATCTGGAACATGTTCTGGGACATGTTCTTGGATTTACAGATTAAAGGTGTTCTTTAGAGGAGGCTGGGGTTGTAACTCAGTGGTAGAGAGCTTGCCTAGCATGTGTGAGGCACTGGGTTCGAACCTCAGCACCACATATAAATAAAATAAAAGGCACATTGACAACTTAAAAAAAAAAAAGGTGTTTTTCAGAGACCAAAGATTCAAGGAATTCAAACTCACTCCTTTTAAGAAATAGGAAGTCTAAATCTGTGGAGAGCTGGGAAGAAGGCCTGGTTTCATGTTTGAGCTTTAATGATAACTAGGCTCCTCAGAGTTCTAGGACTTGTTAATTTCTGCCAGTAGCCACTGAAGATCCACTCAACCCTGTTGATAGTTGGTATAGTTTAAAACTCATAATTAGCAAAGTCTGATTTGGGTTGCTATTTTTTTTTCAAATATTTTTTAGTTGTTGATGGACCTTTATTTTATGTATTTGTATGTGATGCTGAGAATCAAACGCCTTATCGCATGGTAGGCAAGCGCTCTACCACTGAACCACAACCTCAGCCCTTGGGTTGCTATCTTAATTATGCAATTCTCATTTATGTTTTATTTTTATGTTTTGCAGTGCTGGGGATTGAACACAGGGCCGGGTACATGCCAGGGAAGTACTCTATCACTGAGCTGTACCCCCAGTCCTTTTTTTTTTTTTTTTAATTTAAATCAACTCTGAAACCTTAAACAAGAACATTATCATGTGTAAGTCTGAATCATGCCCTTGCTTCACTTAATTTAGCCTCCCAAGTAAGTAGCTGCAGGTAGTTTTTGTGGTAAATGCACTGGGGTTTTCTTATCATCTGCAGAGGAATAATATAACAAGTCAAATATACCCCTCTCTCTTACTGAGGAATGAACCCAGAGACTCTGCACATACTAGGTAAGCAATCTATCATTGAGCTTCTTCCTCAGCCCTTTTTAAAATTTTATTTTGAAATAAGGTTTCACTAAATTACCAAGGTTGGCCTTCAATTTGCAAATCTTCCTACCTCAGCCTCCCAAAGAGCTGAAATTATAGGCATGTGCAACCACACCCAGCACAATATTCATTTAGAAGCATGAAATTCAAGGGTCATAAATCTTCAGTTGGGCTTTTGGGGCCGCAGCCATCCTGGACTTCATACTTGGGGTAAGTGTTAAAAGGATTTAATAAATTCCTTCTATAATGAATGCTCATACTTCAAGGCTAAACTTCTATTCTCCCAAAGAGACTGTAATCATTCTGTTCTACTTCCATGTAGTTCTGTTTGAATCCTGTCAAACATAATCAAAGAAAAATTTATGTCTGGATGGTATGACACAGGGCTGGGGTTATAGCTCAGTTGGTAGTATGCTTGCCTTGCATGCACAAGGCCATGGGTTCAATCCCCAGCACCATGCACACAAGCGCGCGCGCACACACAAGACATGTATGGTTTGACACAGATATAAGAGGGAATTAGGAGGAATAAAAGATAAAAAGGCTTTTTAGAAAATTTTCATGATAAACTTTGACTATCTCTCCCACTGAAGATGGATCAACTCTGAAACCTTAAACAAGAACATTATCATGTGTAAGTCTGGATCATGCCCTTGCTTCTCTCTCCCATCAGTTAAAAAGGGCCAGGCAGATATTGCATGTTCTACAAGTTGATGATAGAGACATAATGAAAAAATTTAGTCTAAGGCAGAGGAAATGTCTTTCCTCATGATGGTTCAGGATTTTGGATGCACCTATCCTGGCACCCATAGAACCAAAGTCTGGATATTCAGATTTGCTCCCTAGCACACCCCTAAAAAATATTCACTGTTCTGACCTCTTGGTCATATCATAATGTCCCATCCCTAAAAGAAACAGTGCCGAGTGCACAGTAGGTCTTCATAAATGGTCAGTGGCTTATCCACTGGCCTGCACCCAAATAGACTGCTATAAAGAAGAAGAAGGTCTAAGTAGCTACAGGTAGTTTTTGTGGTAAATGCACTGGGGTTTTCTTATCATCTGCAGAGAAATAATATAACAAGTCAAATATACCTACCATTTCTTAGCAAGGAAAGATAAAGCCTTTCTTCTTTTAATACCCAGTAAACTTCCTCCAACTTAAAGGAAGTTACCTTTTCCTATAAAAATGAGAATGACCTACTTAGGCAATCATTGCTTAACTTCCTTCTCTGGATTTGTTATAAGGCTGAAATAATCTATACTTTGACAAGAGACTGAAAGAAAAATAGAAGGTCCAATCTTTCATTTCCTTTGAAAATACTTAATTTAGCCTCCCACCCTTCCTTTACTTTCCTAAATCCAGACCTTCCCCAGACTGTTAATATTTCCCAATGAAGAGAGCTCTGTTTTCTCACAGAAAGCACAAAAGGTCTGTATTAACCTTGTAATTTCACCAGCCTAAGGACAGCCTCTCAGTGGCATGATCACAACTAAGTTAAGTGGTAGCCAGGTGCTGGACAGCTTGGAAGAGGAATTCTGATCAGAGAAAAGCAAAAACCGATTGTTTTTCCATAATCCATACTTACTGTTCTAAATTCAGGACTATAGCTAGATAAGAAGCACTGTAAAGACATTATGTAAGCAAGACCCTAGCTGTTGGGTCTACTTGTACCTGGGTGCCAAAAAAAGTTTTATCCAATAGCTAGTATTTCCAAAACAACATAGTGGTTAAG